ATCTAAGAAGACTGGATCCATTCAGAGACAAACCTCTCAGTGCTGACCACGCTTTGGTTTTTATTGATTTCTTGCGATTGAAATATTTCGACTATTTTCTAATACGGTGGTTCTAAACCTTGGCCATTTGAAGATGGGTGGACTTCAACTCCCAGAATTCCCCAGCCAGCCAGCCAGCCGGCGTTGGGGAATTCTGGGGGTTGAAGTTGCCACGTTTGAGAAACGCTGTTCTAATATTAATGTATTTTCCCTCCAGCATGTTTTGGTATGACAACAGAAACGGGAGATGCCTCGCCAAGTCCCATCGTATACTAAACAACATCAACGCAGGGTTATCTTGAGTTTCTTCCTCGTGCTTCCTTCACTCTCTGGACCGCACAATCCGTACAGCTTTTTCACATCTTCCCCAAGTCAGCTGCAAATTCTTCCATGCACCCCGAGGTACCCTACCTCAAGGATGGCCTACCTCCGCCGAGGTCCCGGACAGTGTTGTGAAACAAGAATGAAACAGATTTCCGGATCAAGCTAGCTTTTCTCATGTTTGGATTCTCCTGCCAAGCCGGTCCCTCAACGGAAAGCCAAAATGCCAGTCTTAGCACCCAGGAAGCTATGCCAGCACGGCTCCTTTTGGATACCCCTGTTCCCCTTTCGGAACCAGGCACTCACACATGCGCACAGGGGAGGGTCCCATCCATGTCTGTCCCCTGCCCTGATGGCCCTGCCTCAGTGCTCCCTTTGGAAATGACAAAGAGGGGAAGCCAGCAAAGGAAGGATAGGGGGTGTCATGCAAGGCTGAGAGAGGGGGAGGGGCCTTGAAAGAATATGGGAGAAGGAAGAGGAGGCCTGAGGGGAGGAAGGGGACGGGACGTATGCAACACACAAAGAGTGTTAGTTTCAGCCCCAGAGAAATAAAACTCGGCCACGGAAGCAGCCCAGCCTCGCAAGTTCATAGCAGGCCATGCAATAGGGTGGCCGGCAGCTAGTCCCCAGGGGCCACTATAGGGCAGCCAGGTCTTCAGGTTCCCAGGACAAGCACCAGTCCACCCACCAGGATGCTGGGGGTGGGGGTGGGGGGGGAGGGCTGAGTCCCTCTTGTAAGCCCCTGATCCCCCAAAGTGAAGAGGAACGGAGCCGGGAAGCTCATACCCACATTCTGTGAATTGGAGCACCCTTGCAAGACACTTTTGCGGGAGGGGGGGGGATGTCCCTGCCCCACTCCATGCCACGACCCAGCATTGCTGAAAATTGGGGCGGTTGGAGGAGTTTTTCTGGGCCTCCCCCTCTCAATCCACCTGGCTGCCATTTGGGGGCTTCCCTGGGGGGCAGCTGGGGGACCCAGCGTAGGTGCAACAGCGCACAGAAGTTGCTTCATGGGATGGTGTTTTCCATGGATTTTTTGGGGGGGGAGGGAGAGGGAGGGAGGGGAGGGGAAAAAAAGAAACCAAAACCATAAAAGAAAATTCTTCAACCAATTCTCCCCCCCCCCCAAATATTGTTGTCTTTTCTGATTTTGCAAGGGGGGGGGGGCTGTGTGGGTTTAGAGTGTTGCCATGTCGGTGGGGAGGGATGGTTGAAGGTGTGGGGCTTGTAGTAGTAGCAGACCTGGGTTCAGGTACCTTCCAGGGGGACACACGGGGGGGGGCCTTCCCTCTTTCCCAGCCCTTCTACCTCACAGGGTTGTTGTGAGGATAAATGGGAGCCGGAGGGAACATGAGCTGGATCTCCTAAAGATCAGACATCTAGCAAATAAATCAGTAATCCCGTTGGGGCCGTGGCTGATAGGGGGGCTGCCCCGGGAGCCCCAGACTAGCATGCCAAGATGTAGCCTTTGCAGCGGCTGTGGATGATGGGACTTGCAGCCCAACAATATCTTGGAAGTCTCAGGCTTCCAAGTTTCCTTTCCTTCGCTTTTCAGCGCCTGCGTTCCCTTTTCGGCTACAATTCAGTGGTTGCCTTTCTAAACCCGGTGCCTTCTGGGTGTGTTGGAGAATAATGCCCATCAGCTACCAGTGGCATGGGAATTGTAGTCAAGAGGGTGGGCTGGGTTGAAGCCTATTTCACTCCTGGGGGGAGGTCTCTCTAAGAAAGACTTGCATTGAGCTTTCACTGCCCTAACGGAGCTGGGAATCGGTTATTCCACCATTTCTTTTGCCCCAGGAAGTAAAAGAAAGGGAATTGGGGGGTGTCACTGAAACCCACTTCATTTTCCAAAGTGCTGGAAGGATCCATTTTCAAGCCTATGGAGAACTTTCAAGCATCCAGGCCACGGTTGTCCCAAGGGTGCTTTTCCAAAAGGCAATTGGACTTTCTTGGGGTTTTTCTTTCCCCTTGAAAAGGTTTTACTTCTCATCCAAGAAGCTTCCTCAGTTCTTCAGACACTGAAGAAGAACTGAAGAAGCTTCTTGGGTGAGAAGCGAAATGTTGTCAAGCAAAAAAAAAAATGAAGAAAGACCAGTTGCCCTTTGGAAAAGCGCCTTTGGAATCTGTTTTCAAATTCACAAAATGAGACGAAGGAAGCGCCTTGGATTCGTCCCCCCAAAGCAGCCAGCAGTGCCGATTAGCACTTTGGGGCAATTCCAGCGGCTCCTTTTTTTCTGGGAATCCGGTGGCCGCTGTAGAGGGCAGAGACACACAGTCCCAGAAAAGAGGCACCTGCCTCAGGGGTGGGATTCAGAGTTTTAAGCAACCGGTTCTGTAGGCGTAGCTAGGTGGGCCTGTGACTGGGTGGGTGTGGCGGCTTCTTCTTCTTTTTTCAGCATCCTTCCCTGGTTTTTCTGTCTCCTGGGCCTCAGGGAAGCCTCGGGGGGGGGGGGGGGGTTGGCTCCCAGGAGGCTTCCCTGGGGCCCAGGAAGGCAAAAAACGGAGTGCACCCGCCCTCCCGCCTACTGCACTTCCTGGGTGAAGCAGTAAGACAGCGAGGGGGATCCTGGCACAGCTGATCATAGGAACAGCTGATCATCGGGAGGGCGGGGGGAAAAGAAGAAGAAATACCTTAAGGAGTGACTGGACGGGGGAGAACTCAGCAGCGATGTCGCGCATGCGCGATAAGGACTGGCTGGGAGGGGAGGGGTGGGCGGAGAGGGGCGGGGCCAGTCAGGGGCACGATTGGCCAACAGTTCTCTGAACTGCGCAGAATCATAACAACGGGTGGAATCCCACCGTTGACCTACCTGCTCTTAAGGACCTCAATTAGGGGCTGTTCCTGAAACACCACAGGTCGTCCTCAATTTAAAACACAGCTGAAATGGGAACTTCTGTTGTGAGGCAATGCGGTCCGAAAGTGAACTGCGTGTCCAATTTTATCCTCCTTCTGATGCAGTCATTAAATGAACCACACAGTCCTGTGTTTGAAATCCGATTTCCTCCACTGGAAAGCCCTCTACGTAAGGCTGCAAAAGGGCAATCGCTTGACCTCAGGGTGCGGCAACTGTCATAAATAACGTATCAGCTGCCAGGCACCTGAATTTGGATCACGTGACTGCAGGGAGGCCTGCAGTGGCCTTAAGCGCAAGTCATTTTGGGGGGCACCGTCATAACTTGGAACGCTCGTTAAAAGAATGGTTGAGGACTACCTGTAGTTGAATCCAAAGCATTCAATGGCCTGATTAAATATGGTTCCATTGATGGTTTTATTATTTCACGGATTTTCATTATTATTATTATTATTATTATTATTATTATTATTATTATTATTGGTTTGAATCCTTCAGGTGCATTTTTAAAAAAAGCATTTGTAGGTCACACAGGGAAAGTGTCTGTGGGGCAGTTATCCATACATAATAACAACAATAATTAATAATTGCACCTGCAGGCTGTTAAGCCTGCCTGGTTCAATTATAGACAATTCTTGGTACCAAACAGAGTTTCCACCCATTACAGCTTATATCGGTGTTTTTATTATTATTTTATTTGCGGCTTTTTTCAAATCACAATTTCAACGCATACTTGTATTCTGCATAGTGGTTTGTTTTGTTTTAGAAAGATTGATTTGTTTTCCAAAAAACTGGGAATGCGGGGAGGTTTATATATTATATTTGTTATTTGGTGTTTTAACCATTTTATCCTGTCTGATTCTTGGCCATTTTATAGGCAAGTGACATGTTATGTTATGTTATGTTATGTTATGTTATGTTACGTTACGTTACGTTACGTTATGTTATAATACACTATGCTACATTATATTATATTATTATTTATATTTATTTAGTAATGTTGTTTCTGCCCACCACAATATTATATTGCATACTCTAATTCAGTATTTCTAGGCAACAAGGAGAGGTGGGGTCTTCAACTCCCAGAATTCCTGGCTGAGGAATTCTGGGAGTTGAAGTCCACAGGTCCCAAAGTTCCCTAAATTGAGAACCGGTCATTTTAAATAGTTGTGACTGTGGCAATCTATAATCTATTTTGCTTGCTGGGTCAATTGTGAACCTCTCTGGTTCTGCAGGTTTTTATAACCATCAGCTCAGTATAGTTTTATGTATACAGTACAGTTATCATCAGGGTTATTTTTTGCTGCTGGTAAATTGACACCCAACGGAGTTCAGCAAAATCACTCAATACTTTTTACATTTTTTAAAAAGAGTTCAGAAAGGCAATGCAGGGCAGCTAGTTCACCTTTTCTCTTTGAAAGAGATTCCCTACGAAAGAAACGGAGGGATATTGGCAGAGCGCTAATTCGGGGCAGTCAGCAACTGGAAAATATTGTTGCCTAAAAGGGGCTGAAAATTATGCAAAGATGCCGGGGTGGGGGGAATACTGTAGAAAGCCTCCTCAGAAGCGCCCTCAGCCGAGAGAAAATCCATGTGTTTCCGCAAAGGCTGTGTGTGCAGGCTTGCACAGCAGAGTGTCTGTCAATTTCCAAAAGCAAAGTAATTTTTTTTTAAAAAAAATAATAATTTTAAAAAAAATAAGGAAAGAGGGGGGGAGAGGTAAAACCCACGGCAAACCAAATGATTAGACAATAGACTGATATCTACCAGATAATGCAGTTTGTTTACCATAGCGTGTCCAATTCCTGCGTGCTGTATGCATTTAAAAACAGAAAGAAAATGAAAAAGAAAATCGAGAAGGGGAGGAAAGGGAATAAACAGAAGAAAAAAAAATGACCAACCATGAAAATTCAAGGGAGATATATTTAAAAAAAAAAAAGAAAAAAAAAAACAGAAAAAAGGGAGAAATAAATTTCTCCAGTTTCCGAGACCAGCAAAAAACTAAAAAAATAAAAATAAAATGAAAAATACTGAATCCACACAACCCAACGACCCTCTCCCCGCGAACTCTGCCCTCCCCCTCCCTCCCCCCGCCCCCCTTCCCCCTTTCTTAACCTGGGTTAGTAAGGAGAGAACGGAACAAAATGAACCACTCAAAAGGAAGGAAGGAAGGAAGGAAGAAACCGACATTCCGCGAATGGCACAGAGGTTAGTCATCCCTTCTTTGGGCAGGTTTGGGGAGATTTCCCCCCCCTCCCCGCCCCTGCATGACAACTCCCCCTCCCCAGAAGCGTGTTAGTAACACACAACGACAAAAGTTGCCAACACAATTTCTAACGAGGTGGTTTAGGAAGGTGGGAGGTTAAGGGTGGGTTGGGGGGAGTGAAAAGGATGGAGGATCAAAGCACAGGGCCGTGTTAGCAATATTAGTACTTCCAAGGAGCCCAGATTTAGGGAGGGGAGAAGGGGGGAGGGGTTGGGTGGGGGGGGTGTCCTTGGGCCTGGCCAGAGACGGCGTTTGGGTCGGGCCAGTGGGGACCAAGGCTCTGTCAGCCACTGCTGGGAGATAAAAGCTTAGATCTCAGTGGATTTGGAGGAAAGAGCTAGAGGAAAGGAGAGAGAGAGAGAAAGCGTAGGCAAGGGTGCCCGGTTGGGGGGGGGGGCAGACAAGGGGGAGCAAGCCCCCCGCCCCTTCCCGGTCCTTCCCCAGGTAGAAATCAAGGCCAAGTTGCTGCTTTTGGGGAGGAGGATTAAGAAGAGGAGAGGGGGGAAAAAAATCCATCCGGGGGGGGGGGTTCGCGGAAAGAGGAGAGAGGCACCGCTGCAAAACTGAGATATGGGGAAGTGGGGTGTCTGTGTGTGTGTGTGTGTGTGTCCAGTTCTGTGAAACCCAAGGGCTGCAAGCGGGGCAGGCTCACTGCTTCACCCCAAGGCTCAGTGCTCCAGGGCATAAGGAGCAGCAGTGGGATCTGAATAACTGAACCACCGGTTCTTTGGCTGGGTAGGCGTGGCCGACGGGTCATGTGACGGGGCGGGTGATGTCACTCATCACGCCCAGCCCCGCCTCCCGGCCACTCGCCTCAAAGGCAGAGGTAGGATTCAGGCGGTTGGGGCTAATCCCACCACTGGCTGGCCCCGCCCCTGCCCGTTTGGGGGTCATTTTCAGGCTGTTTTGGGCCCCACAAACAGTCCAGGAAAGAGGCCAAAAAACGAGTGGGTGTGGGACCAGTCGGTGGTGGAATTGGCCGGTTCGCCGAACTGCAGGGAATCTTAACAATCAGTTCACCTGAACCGGTGTGAACCGGCAGCGACCCCCCCCCCACTGATAAGGAGCAACGTATGTTCTTGGCTAAGCGAGAGAAGGGTGGGGAGGGGAAACCCCTCTCCATCCAATCCGATGCCTTTTTCCTTCTCCCTTCTCTTCCTCTTCTACTCGCTACCCCATTCTGCTCAGTTTTATCTTCCCCCAGCTTCCAAACTCGGGCTTTTTCAAGAAAGGACAAATCGTCATCATCATCATCATCACCCTGTCCTGATCTCTTCCTGAAGGCCTTGGGGGTTCCCAAATTCTTTTGATGCAATTGCACGTATTATTATTTTTAGAGTATTTGCCTTAAAAGCTCCAGACGCGGTCTTTCATTATTCATACTTCCTGGCACTTCCTGCTCTGGATCTCCCAGCCTCCAGCTATCATTACAGAGTATGGATTTTTATTCAGATCAGCTGGTTTTTAAACAACAGCCTCGCGAACTCTCCACTGGGAGTCCTACCACGGATACAGGTGGGCCATGTTTTCCAGCCCCCCCCCAGTTCTACAGCTGGGTGAAGCCTGAGCTACTTGGGGCAATCAGCAGGGGAATTTTTCCTCCCGCTGCACGCCCAAAATAGATCAGAAATTCGTCAGGAGGAAGGCCAGCCGTTTATTCAAGGCCCCCAAGCCTCTCGTTCGGTGCGCCATGCATTATATTCCTCGCTGCCCACTCCATTTAGGAGCATATCTTCACACCTAGAATAGCTTTTGCTAGGTTGTGGGTCTCCCCGTGGCAATTTGTGCCCCTGTTCGTTCTGGAAGGCTCCACTGGTTCACAACCTTAGCAATTTTAAGAGGTGTGGACTTAAGCTCCCAGAATTCCCCAGCCAGAATATTTGGACTTCAACTCCCAGAATTCCCCAGCTTCCTTCAACTTCTGGGAGTTGAAGTCCACATGTCTTAAAGTTGCCTCTACGGAGAGAAACACCAGCCTATACAGAGATACAGAGAGAGTCCCACCTGTTATTTATCCTTAGATTTCACAGAACGAGACCCCCTTTCTTCCCCACATGCCAAGTATCAGGGCCAAAACAACCCCTCTATATTCAAGGCCATATTTTGCTACTAAACAGGGAATCGTGGGTTGCAGACCTTGGAATGGTGGACTGATTCTAGTCCAGACATCAGAAAAAAAGTCAGAAAAGTGGGGTTAGAAGATGCAACTGGCCTCAGCAATCATCACTCATTGATCACGTCGTATAACTTAAAATAAAGTCGTCTTCCAGGTATCAAACTGTTTTATAGAACTTTGCAGAAATTGAAGACCTGGGGCTGCAATGGGGTGTGAGCTGCCCATTAGCCACATTGTACTAAAATGCAGCAAGGCGATTCTCTTCTTTTCAAACTTTAAAATAAGAAATAAAATGGCCAATTTAAGATTATTTTGCTCTTTTTAAAAATCCAGAAAATTGGGGAGAAAAGAGCTGAAAACTGCAGCCATTCGCATCTCCGCCACACATCCTGCAGCCTTCACCAGCAATAACAACAATAAGAATAACCATAACAATAATGCTTGCTCCAGCTGAAAAGTTTGACATCCCTTGCAAGAGAGTAAAATTTGGATTTAACTGACAGTTTAAGGCTGTCTGTTAAATTCAAAAGTTTGGAACTGAGGTCATTTGCACAGTTACCTAATTATGCAAATGTCGTACATGAAGACTAACGGTATAAGAATGCCAATTACATAATTGTGCAAATGACGTAAATGACATATACAAGTGTGCAGACAGGCATTGGAAATAAAGAACCGGTCCGGTACTTCAGATGCGTTTCCATTTCAAAGTTCCTCCACCTAAGATTAAAACTTGGGTGCTTTGAAAATGTTTCTCCCTTTACCAAAGGTAACACAACCCGTTGCCGAGAAGCAGTGCTAGAAAATCTAGCCCGCCTCTCACATTTTGTATCCCAAACGTGGGGATCATCCTTTTTTTTAATTAAAAAGGTCTCTTGCTCCTGGGGAAAATTTGCTCAGCGATTTAAGAAAAAAAAAGAAAAAAGGATTTCAGAAGCCGTTCCGAGCCAGGGATGTGCCCCCCCCGCCCCCCGCAGCATCCCCTATGTGCTGAGACTACATGGGCAGCAGTCGCTCACCTGGCGCAGGTTTCTAGTCACACGAATGTCGTGCCAGTTGTTGTCATTGAACTTGCCGTTGACTGGCTCCACCAGGGCCTCGAAGGCGCCGGAGCCCAGGTTGATCACCAGCCAGACGGCGCCGCTCTTGAGCGAGAGGTTGACGTAGTCGGCCGACTTCCCGGTGTGGAGCATCAGGCCATTGCGCTGGAGGGTGCGGAAGGAAAGGGTGATCTCGTCGGTGCTGCTTTGGATGGGGTTGTGCGAAAGGTCGTAGCAGAAGAACTCGTTCCCTTTGAACGTTGCCACAAATTCTTCTTTCCCTGCGGAAGAGACACAAGGAGATGGGAAGGTGGCGCTTGAGCAGGGGGTCAGGAATCCACATGCTTATGAGCAAGCTACAGGCAGTTCTCGACTTACGAGGGTTCATTTAGCGACCGTTCCAACTTAGCTCGGCACTGAAAATAGTGACTTCGGATTGTTTTCACGCTTATGGCTATTGCAGCATCGCCGTACTCACGGGATTTACACTCAGATGCTTGACAACTGACTCCTATTTATGATGGTTGCAGAGTTCAGGAGTCATTTTGCGAACCTTCTGACAAGCAAAGTCAAGGGAGAACCCAGATTCACTTAACAACCATGTTACTAATTTAACAACGGCAGTGATTCATTTAACAAATGTGGCAAGAAAAGTCGCAATAATGGGATGGAACAGAGTCAACCTTGAGCCAGTAAGGATTGAACTGGTGCCAGTCAGCCGAATTAGCCTGAAATACTGCATTCTAATCACTGTGTTACCATAGGAGGAGAAGAAAAGAGAATATAGAAGAGAATATAGAAAATAATTAGGCTGGACTATAGACTAGACTAGAATAGAGAAGAGAAGAGAGAAGAGAATATAGACAATATAAGAGAAGAGAATATAGAAGAGAATATACAAAATAATTAGAATAGACTAGAAGATAATATAGAATAGAATAGAATAGAATAGAATAGAATAGAATAGAATAGAAT